CTGCTGGCGATAATTTAGTTTAGAATATGAAGATTGGACAAAATATTTCAATCGGGTCATTTGATTCGATCAGCTGGTTTTCCCGATTTTCGATTGTTGTCAAATCTGACATCTTATTAAAAAACAATTATAATATCCAAAGTATTTATATTAATTGTTTCAAAAAAAAAAAAAAAAAAAAGACTAGCTGATACATAATTGAACATAGAAGGCATGTGAATGCTTCGAACTGGATAGCAGTGTTGTTCAGCAAGTGAAAAAAGTAATATAAGCAAACAATTTGGTATGTAAATAATCTGCATATGTGTCAAACATGTTTGAATAATGTATAATTTAAAAAAAAAAAAATTTATAATGCTAATATTTAAATATGTAAGATTTGTTCTGCATTAATTTTTATTTAATGTGATATATTATGTGTTCCTTTATAGCCAATAAGTTTTTTCCCGGAAAGTTTTGGTCAAAATTGATGCTCTCCAAACACCAGAACAATGTGGTCCTGAAAAAGTTAAAAGTTAAACAAAATTATAATTGAAAATATGTATTTTGATTTTAAAACCATACAGTTTTGAATTACATATTGTGTTCAGGCTAATTGAAGTTACTGATGCCTTGCCAATGAGTGTCATAGTTTTTTTTTTTCGTATGTGTGTTTCTGTCACTATCAAAATCGCTATACAATTATGAAAATTAATTAGTTTCTTTAATTAATGTTGTCTCTAGTGGTGTTAAATTTGCTTGATCTGTCGTTGTGTCTACAATATATCTGTCTTTTCATTACTTTTTAAAGTCCAACCTTTCACATAACGTTGGTGTCACGTGTCTTTATTAGGGTTTCCCCTAATGAACCAAAAAGACACTGTGAAGAAGGTTAGGTTTTGAAATATTGGCTAGCAATAGTCTAGGCGGATTCCCGCAGCTTCAAAAAACATCTAACCTACTTCAGGGATGAGGCGACTCAAATTATTGCACTACAATATTATTATATAATCCTAGGCGCAACTTGGTTTGATTTCCCCAATACTTTGTAAGCCCCAGACTAGATAGTAATCATGCTAGTCCAATTAACACAGTACAACATGAAATTCAATAATATAACATTCATTCCAGATAACCTAAGAACTGTAGGGGTTGACACTAGCCACAGGATGTAGAATAACAAAACAGCATGCAATCAGTGCAACACAAGTAAGAATGTAAGGAAATGGATTTAGCAAGATAAAGTAACGTTCTATGAAATCTAAGACGGCTCTCTCTACTCAAGATGGACTTCGGGTGTGTCACTAGCATCAGCAGTTATCATCATTGCCAAACTGTGGAATTATAGACTTAGGTAAAAGGTTCTTGGTGTTATCAATAGCCACACTTTCTGGTCTTCGCATCTTAACTGTCAAGAAGCTCCCGTTTATCTGAAGTGCAGCATCTTTCAACAGTTGATACTGAGAATGTTTGAATTTTCACGAATCCAACATTAAAACACACTGTTCACCAGTCACTGGATTCAATAGCGACCTCTAATATTTAATGTCTATACCAATATAGACCTTTCCTTTGGAGTAAACAAGGCAGGTCGAGTTAGGCATCATAATACATGGGCAGCATATAGTCTCTACAATACTGCCCAAGCTTTGTGCTATGGAGAGGAGAAACTTCATCCCTGGCCGTAACTGATCTCGGAAACAAATCGAGAGCCAGCAGTTACGGGTTATAAGTACTTGTCAACTGGCATAGATAAGGGCGCCACGGGTTGCCTCTGACGGTGGGAGATATCTTTGAATATCACTGATCAACTACCGTCCGCCTCAAGCTGGGCAGCCCCCAGCCAATAAGGTGTTGATCCGCCACATCTTGCTTGCTTCAATGGATGCTTGAAGCAGAAGACACAATAAGAAAAGTACGCATGCTGGAAAACATTGGGCGAGGAGCGGCATAGGTCAGAGTACCAGCGGGAACGTCTGACCGGTGTAGAGTTGTGATCACATTAGGCCGGGTGTGCAGAGAGCTGCCAGCGGGTGCTGAAGTTGAAGTCCAACAGTTGATTCACGACAATTCACGCCTAGGCGATCTGATTATCTATACAGATGGTTCGGTGCTGAGATGAAAGAGAAGTGCCTAGGGGTTCTTAGCGAAAGTCAACGGACAATCTTTAGTGCAAGACAGCCTAGCATATGACGGATATTTAACCAGATTGTGACCGGTATCATCAGTATTAGAATTCTTCGCTGGCTGCTAGAGATGAGGACGGATCATGCATGAGAATGTGCTGAGTGATGTGATGTCGATTCTTGACTCACCTCAAATCAACAGCCCTGATCTTGCTAGATTTAGAAATTAAGACTGAGTCTGGCATATGGTTACTCTCATGATCGCCTAGGACACTCCATTTTGTGTCCATCACTGTTGACTGTGTAATAAACACCAAATCAATAGCCGTGTCTGCATTATCAGGCCTCATCGCCAATTTTAGTTTGCATACCGTCATTCATACAGACTACGCCTGCATCCACTAAAGCCTCTGCTAAAGTTATTCTTTGCCTATTTTCCCTACAACTACCCCATGCTCTGTTCCGCGCACAGAAATCCCCACAGCCAGTCCTAATGTTCTTTTATGACAAGAGATTGAACAGCAGCGTAAACATTTACTAAATTTCAGGTGGTTCTTCCAATATCTATCTGTATACCCTGAACCTCTAGTGTACTATGATACCACTGGCCCAGGTCAAGAACCCTATGCTTAAACCCATTCTTCACCAGCAGACACTGTCCATGTTGTTAGTGTCCACTAGGATGTATGTAACTAATGTGTCTAGAACACTCATATCTATCTATGTTTAACTCCTGTAGCATGATGATATCAAAGTCATCAATCAGTCTCTCCCGTACAGGTCCTCTCTGCTTTGCATTGAGAAATTCCAGTAAGCGACTCTAAAATGCTTTGATTCCAGACGCTGCGTTTTTCGCCTGACTCTTCGGGCTCCGGCTGTCCTATTTCTATGTTTTATGCACTCACTATTTCCTCTTTTTCTTCTCCTCCCTCTCTCTCTCTCCCTCCCTCTCTCTCTCTCTCTCTCTCCCTCTCTCCCCCTCTCTCTCTCTGTTGTCACCTGAAGATGGTATCAAGCACAGAGCACGCACTCCGTAGCTCTGGTGATGAATCGTTTTATTATTAAATATTCATAGAAAAATAATCTTTCAGCGCAGGAAGTAAACGGTCACCCTAGGATTGCCTGCTTGCTCGTGAAGAGGCAGGGGATGTCTAGACGGAGTCCATACGCCTGTTGCCGCCCCACCCACTAACCAGACGCTCCACGTTCACGACTGTTTAATGCACAGTCAGTCTGCCTATAGGCACCTAGGTCCACCGTAGGCTGATAGATTTTTATCAAGGTTGTCACCGCTAGAGCAGTTGTGTTTTGTGCCTTTCCTGTTACGCACAACGGTCTTGACTGTACAAAGGATATCCTGATCAAGGAACGTGAAACCTAAGTGTGCCGCTTTCATCCTATAAGTAAAAGTACTCACAGGACTAGACCTCATTGCGCGAGAGATCGGACATCAACAGCCCTGGATCACTGATCCTTGTGTATTTTAGTGTACAATAATCATGATGCAATTTTGTGAAGTACAAGTTAAGCTGATTTAGGAGCTGATATTATGGAAACCATTCTGATACTGACTACAACACATAAACATTTTCATGTGGCAGGGCATTCACTGATCAAAATCTACTGCAAATGTTCATTAAATGGTGCCTAAGCAGTACTCAAAAATGACAATGGTAAGACAGAATCACTAACGTGGAGTTTGTGAGAGAACTGGCACATTCTAGATAACATACTGATGCTAGATATGACAAACAGAGAGAGGGAGCGAGATAGATAGATAGATAGAGAGAGGGCGAGAGAGAGGGATAGAGAAGGAGAGAGAGCCAGAGAGAGAGAGAGGGAGGGAGGGAGAAACACAGTATACAAGAGATACGGAACGATTTAAAAACCTATGTCACAAAAATCAATCCACACTGGACTGATGATGTATTAGTCTTAGAACCAGAGGGATGTGTTCAGGTTATCATTTGCAGTATTTTCTCTGAATAACGTGGATGGCCACTGATTCTGGGTCGAAAGAACGTCAATCGTGATCCAGCTGGTAAGCAGGAAACACACACAGACAGCCACACCGATAATACCATTAAAGTAGAATGTGATGATTATTAAAGGGCTCACAAGGAGGAACTGCATGTCACTGGCTAGGCATCAGGTATGACCCATTCACATTTTCTCAGCACTTAGAAAACTGTTGACATAAAGAAGATTTGTCCACCAATAGTTCGCGGTTGTCCCTATCGGCTGATTAAACCGGATACCACAAGGCTCTAGATCCCTGGTACTGCATGAGACCCAGGACACCCAACCGTGTCAACATGTACGGACTTGTTCAAATAGGCTATCTTCTAAATTTTAATCGGGTTCTGTGTGATTGTGTAATTCGAACCGCTGAGAAAACCTTGATCTCTGCTGTCATTCACTGTTTTCACAGCTCTGACCACTTCACGGTATATAGTACCTTGGGTAGAATTATCATTCAGAGCGACATTTCAACCTCCGCTGACGTAGACTGTCTGGAGGTAACCAGATGACTTCCAAAGTCACTAAATTAGTAAAGCCCGATGGTTCACAGTGTAGAGTTATGCTGGATGCGAACTGTTTCCGCTCATTAGTACAGGCTACCTTAGATCTCTTGTCTGACAATGACAGCCACATAAATACAAACATGGTCACATACAGTCAACATTCCTGTGAATTCACTCAAAAACGGAACATTAACAAATGGCCAGCTATTTGAAGCCAAGCATTTATTCAACAAGTCATCAGCCTGTATAGAAATTGTAAATTTTTTTTTACATTTTTACTAAAATGATACAAACTTATTTTAAAACACTTTAAAAATGTAATAAAATGTTCAAAATATAGTATTTAAATATTTTACTAAAACTTCTTTGTTTATTTTGAGTCTCCATCCCCAGTGTCATCATTATCATCATCATCATCATCATCATCATCCTCGTTCTCCTCCTCTTCTGCTGCTTCTTTTCGAATAGTTACTTTACCCCCAATAAAACAGCAGCAACATAAAATTAGAAATAAAGGAAGCAGCAATAGTAGAATGGCAAAGTATGGTAAAGTCCGTTCGTCTTCTGAAAAAAAAAAAAAACAACAACAACAGAAAAACGTTTAGGACAAGAAGCAATTTAAAATGTCAGATCTATTTTATATAAATCTTCAGGGTTATCTTTATGTAGCTGTGGTTTATGTAGCTGTGGTTTATGTAGCTGTGGTTTATGTAGCTGTGGTTTATGTAGCTGTGGTTTATGTAGCTGTGGTTTATGTAGCTGTGGTTTATGTAGCTGTGGTTTATGTAGCTGTGGTTTATGTAGCTGTGGTTTATGTAGCTGTGGTTTATGTAGCTGTGGTTTATGTAGCTATGGTTTATGTAGCTGTGGTTTATGTAGCTATGGTTTATGTAGCTGTGGTTTATGTAGCTGTGGTTTATGTAGCTGTGGTTTATGTAGCTGTGGTTTATGTAGCTGTGGTTTATGTAGCTGTGGTTTATGTAGCTGTGGTCACAAAAAAACATTCACACTTGGTCTCCACTGCCCCACTGGTGCTTTCACTCATGCTAATCTGTCTATGGTATCTGATGACTTCTTTCATTTATCCTCCCCCCCCCCCCCCCAGACTTTCTACTATCCTTCTCCGTGTTTCTTAAAGAAAACAATGAAAATACCAGGCACGTCGGACTCTGCAATTCCCGGCCTGAACTCTCTAACACAAGCTAGTACTTTACAAGTGTTTTCAATTATTTTAATTTTAAATTCCTTATAATCAAATACAAAACAACGGAAGAGTTAAAATTCTGATGTTATCAGTAACTGATTGTATATCCATTTCGCCTTTTTCCTGAATGTCAAGTGTCGGCCTGATCCCCGTGTAACTCCTTGCAGCTCCATTCTCCACAGACCGTAATGATCTATCTGTGCCTAGGCACTGTTCACTTGCTCCCGAAAGGCCCTCACAACATCCAGCTTGTCCTACATCAGTTCACCACCAAGTGGTGCAGAACCAGCCAGTCTATCTGCTTTCTCATTTCCCAACACATCGTCATAACATGGGAAAAAATATCCTACGGATGCTAAATACCCGGGACCTTGGCAATTATGCTTGCCACTCTGGACGTAGCATGCCTATCTCCACCTCTCTCAACATGCTCGGTGAGTCAGTTTCAATGATGGAATGTGTGTACAAATAATTCTCAAGCCAGCGGAAGGCAGCAGTGACTGCCTCAACCTCTATTCTTAAACTAGTGGTTGTGATATTATATGCTAGGCTTTGTTGCACCAAGCGACGTTTATTCGCCATCGCTATAAACTCCAATGCACTTCGTCTGCCCCTCAACACAGAGCCATCTGTATATACAATCACATCGCCTGGGTGGGAATTTTCATGAATATTTTGTTGAATTTCTGATTCTGCAGCACCAGCTGGCCAGTCCTTGCACTCACGTCCCAAAGTGATTAAAACCCTACACAAGCGACCCACTCCTCTCCTCGTCTAAATTTATCAAATTTTCACACATTGTCCAATTGTGTCTTCAGCTTGCGCTATCCAAGATTCCGCTTTTCAGTCTGTGACCCTTAGCTCTATCCAGGGCTTTCTACAGGCGCCTTTTGTCCGCAGCTACTCTTTGCTTGCAGAAGTGTTAGCCTATCTGCAAATATTAGGCAGTGCAAGTAAAAACTGAATACACACTACCGGGCTATACATACGTATATGTAGTGCCTATGATTCAATATATAACACTACCTTTTAGGCAAAAATCTCCTATGTAGCCTTCAATGCACCCAAAGCATTTCTGTGTCAACATATGACAATTTCTGTCCCGACAGAATTGCGAACACCGCTTGAAACACAACTCTCCAGAATAGGTCAGGGGACAGGCTAGGAAACAGAAATATAACTATCAATTCACAATGTAATAGCGAGTACATCAGTTGTACATCAGTTGTAAATCACTTGCGATTTGGACGATAAGGAGTGTCTGTTAGGCTACATAATCTTGTGTTATGACGATCGACGCCACAGCACATCAGGCATTCCCTGAGTACTCAGTCCTATAGATGTCGATATGTGCTGGCCTGAATGCCATGCCCGATACTGAAGGAATTGCACAGGACAGAATGGGATAAATAAACTGAATATAAGAGACATGTTTGACATATAAACGGTTCAACAGGAGGAAATCAATGATGATGATGATGATTTAAAAAAATCACTCTAAATGTAAATTGTACAGACATGTCTTGATGATTATTTGATATCTGTTTATTGATAGCACCAGAAATATCTAAACCAATCGCCACTGGATGTACGTTGTAATGAAAGTCTGACCATCCCGTATATCATCCGAACAGAACATAGTAGAAGTGAATGGATACCTATTTCTGCTGCTCTAAACATTACAATTAGTCATTATCGTTCTTTTTAGAAGCTCAAGACATCAGATGCCTGGCATAGTAAACATGGTTCCAAAACCAAGACTGACGAAAGCTAGGAGGCAATTGATGCAGTAGTGTTTGTACATCGTCGGATGCGTGACTCTGCACAGCCACAGTACATAGCCAAGTAATACAATTGATGAGTACTCAAGACTTCACACATGTCTGCTCCAAACGAGCAAACAGACTTCATTTTAAAGGGTCACAAATGCTAGCTTGCGAGCCCAGTTTGTCACACTTTGAAAATGAAATTTGTTAGTTTGTGTGTGTGTTGATTCGTTCTTTACCATTTTACAATCACAGCAGCATTCTCATACTATGTTGTTTGGCTAATTTCCGTCTTTTAATTGACGGTGATGTTTTGTACTATAGCAAGACACAGAATTACAACCTAGGACGATGGTCAGTGTGACTAGCAAGACTTGCTTGCGTCAACAAAAGTCTTCCGCTATCAAAGCATAGCATTTTAGGATCTTTGTTGCTGCCTTCCAGACTCTCAACTCTTTACACAGACTACACAGCACAGCAGAAACGGTGGGACTGAGAATAAATACAAAGAAAACTAAAATCATGACAAACAGTCCAAACCAACGACCAGTGACCATAAGTAACCAGTCACTTGAAAATGTAGAACATTTCACATATCTTGGCAGTGTGGTGTCCCTATTGGGAGGGACAGAGGAAGATATACAGTCACGCCTCAACAAAGTTAGAGCTGCTTTTGGAAGGATTAGGCAAATCTGGAAATCAAACAATTACTGTAGAGGAACGAAACTCCGACTCTACGAGAGCATCATTTTGCCAGTTCTTCTTTATGGAGCGGAATGCTGGAGAATAACCAAAAAGCTATCCACCTTTCACTACACATGTCTACATGGAATTATCAAAATTTTCTGGCCAGATAAAATCTCACACTCTAAACTACTTCAAGCCACAAACCAAGAAACTCCAGAATGTATTATAACAGTATTATAACCAAGAGAAAATGGAAATGGCTTGGCCAAGTTATGAGAATGAATCCTGATATACCTGCCAAAACAGCTCTCACATGGATACCAGAGGGAAAGAGAAAAAAAAAGGGCGCCCAAAAACAACATGGAGACGAACTTGATAGCACCGGTTGAGATGATGATTCCAGATACTCAAATCTTCACCTAACCGCAAACGTTTTTCTTTATTCCTGTTCCATTCTAGGCAATATGGTGCATGCAATTGTATTCCGAATATTCTACCTAAATAGGGTGTCACTTATGTCCCACTTGCACACATCATTATGTAGTAAGCAGGGGTCTACCCCGACCTCTGTAATTTGTCTTAGAGGAACTCCCTAGGCAGTGCCGTCGCCGAACCTCCATGTATCTCCAAGTTTCCAAGCTTCGCGAGACGGCACTTAGAAAACTGTTATATATCTGATTTCTCCAGAGTTTCTCGACCCTGCCTCGCCACTAATGTCTTGTGTTATTCTTGGGGCCGTGGTATAGAGACTAGATGGCGGCCTGCAGATCAGACGGTTGTACCTTTAAATCCACAAAGAGCGGCGATTTTAAATTTATATATTTTTCTTTTCAAGCTTGAAATTGGTGGCAGGTCAACTCAGCCATACATGGGTACTGGATAAATGTCTGGCAAGTAAAGGCGGCCGGCGTGATGCCTCATATGCCCAAAGCACCAATAGCTTGTTGAGACCGTTTTTTTTTTTCATCGCACGTGGACGCTATTGGACCGTTTCACCTGGTGCGAGTAAGCTAACCAAGTTTAACAGACGCGAGCAAGAGTCCTGAGACCACAAACCCGATAGACAGGAGATTTTATATTAATCTTGAGATTTCAATTCTCCCAAATGTAATTGTCAATAAATACGTAACTGACTAAAATCAGTATGAAATAGTTGAAGTTAGCGGCATGTGGGTTATAAACGCAATTGTATAGTATCAAACAGATTTAAAGTAGGCAACAGGAATGTTAAATGTTAAAGATACAAGTTTTAAGTTCAATGCTACAACAAAGCGTTAAGGTCAAGGTAAGAGTTAAATATTGAGGGCTAAAGTTAAAGGTTAATGTTATTCACAGTTCAAAGTCACGAGAATCGACTTCCTTGCACAGCTATTTTTATCCCAGACGGCTTGGTCGACCTCATCACAATAGCTAGCAAACCACCTGCCGAGAGTATTGCAGAAAGCACTAATGCCGTAGCGGTTTCTGTAAAAACTATACTAGTGAGGTAAAGTATGGAGATGTAAACCAGCGTCATTGCACACGGTTATAACCCATAAGTGCTCTGCCACTAGTACGCCTATGTCGCCGTCCGCACGCAACTCCGTACCTACAGAACTTTCCTCAATTTACCCCAGGTTGTTATATCTGGTACCCATTACCTAGACTCTAGAGGCTGAGTGAACCCGGGGAACCACCTGTGGACTGCAGCGAGTCACCGCTAGATTTAAAAGCAAGTCTCCTATCGACTGCGCCAACACGGCCCCTAAAATGAAACATTCCTTATTAGTTGTTCATCTTAAATTGATTGTTAGGGATCAGTGCGTCTATTCTTTGTTCTCAAAAACAGAACCACGGACCTCACACAGAGATGACACGGACCTCACACGGAGATGACACGGACCTCACACGGAGATGACACTGAACTGAACGGTCAGGCATAGTGTAAACCTCCTAGTGTAAGCAATGCCTAGTAAGAAAAACATTACAATGCAGTTGGATAGAAAGAAAATCTCATATTCCACGTTGGTTTTTCTACGACCCACTTGTACAAAAGTCCCCTGTGAGATTTCCTAAGCAGGAGAAACACTTCCCCGTGATCATGTCACACTGGCTGTTGGCACATGTCGACGAGCAGTTCTTGTCGCATTGCTCTCCGAAAAAGCCATCTTCGCACTCTGGGGGAAAAAAATATCGTTCCTATATTCGTTATACATGTTGGTACATTAGGATCATGTTAACAAACACATAACTTGCAGCATTAAGTGCATAAATGAGTTAATGTATATAATAAAGTCAGTATTCAAGTATGCATATTCCTATTAAACGGTTTTTGTTTGCAGAAGCGCTGTATTATTGGATACGGCTTCAGTTAATACAGCACACCATCCCCCATATTAAAACTGACAATGAAAACGTCAAAGATGTCACAGATTTTAATTATCTTTGTTTAATCAACAGTGCACAGCAAAAGTCAGAAGCAGACCTGCATTAGTTCTGCAGGAATTAAACAGCGATCAGAGCAGCAAGCAATTATTGATGTAACAAAACATTTTCAAGAAAGAAAAACTGAACATTAAATTGTTTTCCTTAGTGACTGCATATCAACTCGTCAGGCGACTTAAAGGGATCCACAGACAACGGGGAGTCTTCACTGACCTATTTCTTTCCTAGTGGATCCCGGTCCACTGCGGCACACCAGGAAATGAGTTGGCGGACAATCTTTCAAAGAATGGAACAACGGACAAAACACCACAACCATTAAATGTCATTACCGTAACAAAAATTATTTATCAGGGAAAAATAGTAGAAATACCAAAAATTGTCTGTCTAACAACAGGAGACTGCAGGCTCAACACTGCAGGCTCAACACTGCAGGTTCAACACCGCAGGCCCAATCAACACTGCAGGTTCGACACTGCAGGCTTCACTTGCAAAAAAAAAAAAAAACTACAAGCTCCACAGTGTGCATGTCAGATGGGATCACAAACACCTCGGCAACGTCTGCAGTCCTGCCCACTCTACAAACAGCGACCACACGTGAACAGGCCTCAAAAGCAAAGTGTGCAGAGCAAGCTATGTGGAACCATGGAGGACCTGCAGTTGGCATGCCAGTTCATAGAGGAAGCCAAACTGACACTTTGACACGAACATACGAAACCGAACGCAAAGAAGAAGAAGAAAAAGAAGAAGAAGAAGAAGAAAAAGAAGAAGAAGAAGAAGAAGAAGAAGAAGAAGAAGAAGAAGAAGAAGAAGAAGAAGAAGAAGAAGAAGAAGAAGAAGAAGAAGAAGAAGAAGAAGAGGAAGAAGAAGAAGAAGAAGAAGAAGAAGAAAAAAAAGAAGAAGAAGAAGATGTAGAAGAAGAAGAAGAAGAGGAAGAAGAAGAAGAAAACAAAACGAAGAACCCAAGGTACAACATCAGCAAGCGAGTTCATATAAATATTTTGAGATCGCGTATCTTTCACATGATATTTTATGTATGTGAATCATGGACTCGAAGAAAGAAAAAAATTGGCAATTTTGAAATTTTTTATAAAGATTCTGAGAATAACATAGATCAAGTTGAAGAAAACATTCTGAATGATCTTAACATCGGGAATACATCTCGCTTACAAACTGGTCGGTCCACAAGGCTGGGGTGGGGGGGGGGGGGGGGTTTGGCCATGGAAAATGTCACGGTGGCTCGGTGAGGGCGGGTGGCAGTCATTTAGGATGCAGTTTCCAGACAACTAAGAGAAAAAAGCCTGCAAGAAAGAAAGATACATTGAAATGAAAGCACATTGGGCCGAAGAATTAGCTAGAGCAAAATAGACTTTCATGCATGCAGTGACGACACCCACTGTCTGTAAGGAACCTGCTGACAGATGATGATGATTGATGGCTCAATGGACCACACAATGCCATCATTGCACCAGTGACATTCACAAAGGTCCACGACCAGCATCTATCTGAGCAAGCAAGACCAGTTTTATCCTTAAGTCGCCAGTAGACATCTGGATGAAAGTGTATCTACCCTCCCCTGCTCGGCAAGCCCCGTCAAGATGGTAGGAGCCTGAAACCTGTCACAGGTATTATGCCAATCGGCTTAGTCCTGTTAGCATTCTTCAAACAAAACTCAGGGGGTTGAGCATTTGTGACATATGACATTGCTGCAAAAGTGGGTGATAACATTGTCAGATGTGATATTTCAACAGGGATTGTGGTGACAGTGTCAGTGGAATCAGATGTGACATTTCAACAATGATTGTGATGACAATGTCAATATGATTTGATGCGAATTTCAACAATGTCAGTGTTATCGGGTGTGAATTTTCAACAATAATGGTTGTGACGATATCAATGAGATTAGATGTGATGTTTCAACAATTATTGTGATGATTATGTGGGTATGTTCAGATGTTATATTTAAATGTGATTGTGATATCAATGACAGTGTGATATGACGTGGCATTTCAACACTAATTGTAGTGACAATGTCAGTGAAATAAGATTTGAGATTGCACTAACGTCAGTGTGATCAGATGTGACATTTTAACAACGACTACGTTCACAGTGCCAGTATGAGCCAATATGACATATCAACAATTATAGGATGACATTTTCACTTTGTCCAGTACCGTAACAGAAGCCAGAAATGTTACACCCGCTGCCTCTACAGTTGACAGGACACAGGCCGGAGCAGTTGTCTCCATATCGTCCTACTGGACAGTCTGTGTGGGGACAGAACAGCATCTGTACAAGTTGTTGAATTTCCAAACATAACTAGCATATTTACAATGATTCAATGACGCTAATCAGTCTGTGTGGGGACAGAACAGCATCTGTACAAGTTGTTGAATTTCAAAACATAACTAGCATATTTACAATGATTCAATGACGCTAATCAGTTCTTCTGTGTCTGCTATATCTTCAGGAAAAAGTAGATTTAATTCCGCCAGTATTGCTTTACAGGCAATTGTGTCTGGCCTAAAGATATACACTAGAGATGAATTGACTTGGGCTTAGTGACGTGATTACGAGTCAATAGCTCCAACCTCTCCACCAGGCAGACAGAAAAACATTCCCTGTAGACAAAATATCACCCGCAGAGTGAGAAGATAAACGGCGTGTTTATAAAAATCATGGAAGTAATTGATTCAATTCCATGTCACATTCCAAGAAAAGTTAGGGAAAACATAATGTGTTTGAAACACCTATTGTTTAGTGATTGCAATAAGCAGTCAAAATTAGGTTTCAGCAACCTCAATTATTGAATCTCATTCAAATCTAGAATTAAGGTTGACACCATCTGGAAATTACTAGGAGACGTGAACAGGCCCCAAGGATGTCTGTATTTTTAGCAAACTTGCCTAGCAGCAGCAAGGCTTTGGAACGCCTACACAATCGGCGAGCTCCAGTCTTAGGGAGTCCTCGGACACTTAGGAGACCAGCCAATGGTTGCTGTGATGTGTATTTTTAGCCATATGTGAAGTCCTGCTTAGAAAAGTGACGATATTATTGATATAGCTTGTATACTATAAGATGTCATCGCATACAAACAAACAAAAAAGCAGAAGTTATAATTAAGTAGAAGTAGTAAATAGGTGCATTTACCACAGCATTTTAAGGCGTGGAATTGAAGATGTCGATTTATGGTTTAGTTTTAATTGTGAAGCTTAAGAAGTGTATTTTCAGATTCCGGAAGACACGAACAGTAGGAAGCAGAGTTAGTAAATAGCATTGTTTTCAATTTAATGATGATTAATGAACTAACATATAAACACTAGAATGCTTTGTATTGAGAAACGTTTTGTTGAGAGAGAGAGAAAGGGAGTCAGGAGATAGGAGTTCAAAGAGAAACTTAGAGAACTCATGGTCAATTGCGCTTAACCTTTTGAACATAGGAGGTTAACGGGCAATACTGACACAAAAATGTAAAATTTAATTTTTTTTTTAAATAATTAAAAATTGAAATAAATAACGAAAAATGAAAAAGAAAATATTAATACTTTTTTGTATCAGCAATGGATTTGTTCCCGTTAGCACAATAATACACACTGAAATATGACTGGATCTGAGGTAACCGTAATTTCAGTTGACCCATTTATGTTATTAGTAATATAATGCACTTCAGCAAATGGCTGTGCGCTTGAAAACTCATAAAAATAGAAGCGAATATTTCAACTTTTGAAACGGTCTTAGTTTGTTTCCCGCTCGAGGAGCGCCTACTTTCAAGTAAGCCTAAACTTTTTTAGACAGTCCCAACCGAAAATCTGCAAACTACCTTTGACCAGCGTTGAAATATAATTTGACGAATAGCAAACGCCTTCACATATTGCATATGGTAAAACCTACAATAGTCTAAGAGAAGCAAGCCTAGCGTACTCAACGTGTGTAAATCATCTTCCACAGCGAATCAACACAACCAATAACAACTCTACAAACAAGGGCGACTATTGAAATATTTTCTCCCGACAGACTACATGCCACTTTTAGAGATTACAGCATGCTATGCATACAGGATATTTCACTTGTTTGTGTTAGTGTTATACGGATAATTACGTTTATTAAAAACTGTAGGTGCCAGTCGAGCACGCTCCAGCGTGTATAATGAATATTTCAGTGTTATCGATGTTTTCGTTATTCTTCCCGTGAGATTTGCGATATTTTTGGATACGAATAAATACTAATTTGAAAGCTAGTAATCAATGAATGCACTGTCAAAAATTATAGTAACACTTTAGTCTATGCTAACTAACTATCGTCTTTAAATTGATATCCCAACAACTCTTCAAACAGTACCCATTTCCCAAGGTCAGAAACAGTCTACAGTTCAGAATGAACATGTGTGTCCATCTTGCCAGTAAATCGTTGCTTTCAATGGTTGCCATGCATTACATCTCACAGGAAGCTGTTATATGTCAGAGCTGTTTCTTGTACAAGTTTTAATGTAATCGGACCTGCGAACTAATGCAACTGTTGGCTCTCCTCCGAACTTCTACCCGCTATTATGGCGGCCAAGCAAAAACCTAACAGGGCCTCAGTCGCGTGTAAAATGCGGACTTTCTGCCAAGGAACAAATCGCGGCAAAACTAGGATCGGCGCCCAATAACAAAACAAATGCTCCAACAGGGTCTCAACGATATGTTCATTGCGGACCTGTTTCTGCAACTATTCCGCACCGCCGACAGTATCCCATGCGCAACAGCAGCTACCGCATCTCCTGCAACTTCCTTAAAAATTTTTCTCGCGAGTCCCAGGCATTTAGTTTATGTATATGCAGTCTACAGGCAGGGGTCCAGCCGCCAGAGCCACCGCGACTTGACGCCTGCCTGCAGATTGGAAGGTCGTGGGTTCGGTTCCTGACGGAGCTGGACTATTTGTCATAACTGACTTTGACTCGCAGGTCGACCCAGCTTTCAATGGGTACCAGGCGCAGTCCTGGGAAGTAAAGGCGGCTGACGTGATGCTGACCACATCACCTACCAAGTGTCCATTGGTCTTTTAAAATATAGGTCTAGCCACATAGGCTCATTGCGACTAGAGGCGTGGACAACTTTACTTTTTTGTTCCTTTACTCGGATACAAAATCGCTGCTCAACCTTTGCTCCCACTCTCTGACATCAATAACAATAAACAGACGGACGTGACCCTTCCTACCTGTGCAGTTCTGACCGGTCCTGTTGTACATGCACCTACAACTTCCGTCGACCGAATCACATTTGTTGATACAATAGTGGGAGCAACTCACATTACATGCGTCTCCATACTTTCTACCCGGGCATTCTGCAGTAGATGACAGGATTGATTTCCGTTCTTTTAGTGCCTAGCTGATCATCATCATGTAGCAGGTTTTTCAAAAAAAAAAAAAAGGTCTTTCTCATTACATCATGCCCAAAACAAACAGTCTCCCGCCAGCTCTCCAGCCTCGTACACTTTCACATCAAACGATAATTTTTGTGTGTGTGCCCATCTTGGTGTTTTCAGCCCCTGTCCTTCCTCACTGATACCATGCCTTCTGCAATTATGATTGGTGTCAATCCACAGTGGCGCTTTACAAGGCCAAAATGCTTGAACTCAACTGTTCATACTGAACTATATAATGTTGTATCAGTAATTCAAATGAGAGACAGCTGCAAACAGCCAGAAGTTAATAAGATTTATCCCGAAACGCTGCATGTGCAAGATACAAGTAAGCAACAGTAACCGAATTACCAGTACGATCAGAATCAAGTGATATCAGAGAGAATGTTGCAACATGACACGCTGGCAAGAAAGCCAGAGACGGGAGATCAAAGCAGTTTGGGAAAACAAGCAAAAGCGTCAACATATCAACCTCAAAATGAGACCTTTCCCTACTGAACATGTGGTGACGTGAACTAATTCAACACACAAACAACCCGAGACGCGCAACAAAAGAGAAAACCACGAACACTGAGCTACACTTTGTCTCAGGCTACAATCCAGTACAAGTGAGGTGATAAAAGAAGAACAATCAATAAGCAGTTTACGTAGAGAGCTAACAAATGCCATCGAATTAGGAAGTAGGAAAAAAGGACGCTAGCATTGGATAGACGAAGACTGCCACAACCTGCTGAAGTAATACTTCACATCGTCTCACTGGAAACCACTTTATTCGTTGTACTGGCATTCAGTACCCAATGCTGTTAAGCTGAGGGTGGGGTTGAGGATAAGCTCTCAGTCTTCATGAAATAAATTCAAGCCCCGCGTCTCTTAAAACCTCTTACAGCAAAAGTTCATCTCCTGGCCTTCTTGCGGTGGAGATGTTTAAACTAACAGAAGGGACGAAAGATGGTCTCTGGCGCTTTAACCAGGCGCTACGGGTAAATGGGGCGCCTGAGTACGTCAGTACAATTCATCTAGAGGAAGAAATGTCTTATTTCAAAGCTCGGGCAGATGAGGCTCGCTAGAACGGGAGTGCAGCTCATCTAGGTAAAAGGAAAACACTGTTTCCAAACCTTCACTGTCTTGTGGCTATACCCTACCTTGAGAAAGCGCTTCAAGAGTAAACTCTGAGGGAAAATCCGGAGCTGGAATACCTAAGTGGTGTACAGTGCTATTCCGGTAGTTCCTGCAACGTCCTGGGTGCCATTTTGTATTGGCTTCTTCCTTTTCCTTTGTATCACCGAGAACGTTGAGAGGGGTATCCGTTGCCTGGGCAATAGAATATACTCCAAATCAAAACACATAGGCCTGTGCCATGGGCAGGTCACTGAAGCGATGCATAAATCTTTCACCAAATACGGAAAGAAGCTTTCGCCTCTCATAAACGTGTGCTCAGTAGGCGTAAACAGGGCGTAAGGTTTTGTTTCTGACAGTGGAAGAAACCATCGCAGTCTCATTGGACAGCTACCGCCCTCCTTAGCTGGGCAGCCCCTAGTCAGTAAGGTGTTGTCTCGTCACGATCCGTTTGCCTTGTTGGGCGCACCGGGCTTCAGGGATAACCCGTCAGACGGATCATAATCCATGTACCTACACAAAGAAATAGAAAAATCAGAATCCAAACTCTAAAGCTGGGAACGTGGTGCGTAAGGACCATGAGACATAGTATTCTGAAATATCTGCAGCCCATGAGCGATGTTAGGAAAACTGCAGTGATTAATAATGAACTCTCCCGCTTGAACGTGGACATTACTGCCCTTTACAGAAGCCGGCTATCCTCACGTAGCATTAGTCAGTTAGTTAGTCTTTCCTCTTGTGTCGAGTGCGGCACATAGGGCAGAGGTCATGACTCTCCATGCATGGCGGGTCATGACTCTCCATGCATGGCGGTTCGTTGCAATCTGTTGTAGGTCTTGGATGTTTGAGTGGCCCATGAGTGAGCCTTCCCTAATGATAGTTCTACGTAGGGTTTCCCTTGGTCTTCCACGAGATCTTTTACCCTGTGGTGTCCAAATGAGGGCTTGGTAAGGAAGTCTTGATTTATCTATTCTAAGGGCGTGGCCGACATAGTTAGAAGAATTGCGATAAGGAACCAATTGCTTGGAACTGCCATGTCATCTACAGAGGGACCAGAACAGTTAAAGTCTATATTCCTCACCTGTAGGCGTATTGTGAATATAGCACTAGACCTATACATTTATAGACCAGTCGACACTTGGTTGGTGATGTGGTCAGCATGAAAGCAGCCACCTTTGCTTCCCAGAACTTCATCTGGTACCCACTCTAGGCTAGGTCAACCTGGGAGTCAAGGTGATTTTTAAAAAATAATGTCTGGTTCCATCAAGAAACGAACCCACGACCTTTCGATTCGCAGGCAGGCGTCGAGACGCCAACGCCACGGCGACTTCGAAGATCAGAAAGAATCTTTAACATTCAGATCCACACAAGAGCAGGACCACTCACTCTGAAAAGTGCTTATGCACCATCCCTGCCATCTATTCGTGACTCCAAACACAGATTTTACGAGGGGCTTAGTTCCACGGTCAAAGAAGTCTAGGACAAGGTAGCCATATTTAATTTAGGAGACTTCAATGAAAAAGTGGGCGCTGAGCACAGTGATCATCTTGCGTTGGCCATTTGGACTTGGGGGGGGGGGGGGGGGTATAATGAAAATGCTTAAATTCTGTTTCACAACCTCTGTGTCACACACACCTTTGATGATGTAAAACCCCAACACAAGGTCTCTTTCAGACACCCCGGATCTAAGCACCGGCACCAGTATGACATCACCCTGACTAAACAAAGTGATCTTTTCTTCGTGGAGACAACTCGCAGCTATCAGATTGCAGATTATGAAACAGATCAATCCCTTGTGTGAAGCAAGTGAAGATTCCCAACCAGAATACATCGGGCAAAGAGGCCAGGACGGCCGCGCATCGACAGGGGAGACAGTCGTAATCCTGGAAAGAAAGCATAATTCGTAACCATCCCAAACACAGCATTGCTCGGCCCACCATACGCAGATGCCAACAACAGATGGAAGCATCTAAGACATGCTCTATATGATTCTTTCAAAGATGTTACCAATAATAAAGGAGGGGGGAAAAGGCTTTACTGGCATAAAAAATACAACCGCAAAATAGAAATCTGCAATTGCTAGGGTCCATTCGTTCTAGAGTCCAGAAAACTGCACGTCGCTGTGCTGTTGATTACTGGTTCAAACTTAGAAACAAACTTCAGCATTTACCTGGCAACATAAGGGGAATGCATGCAGGCATTAGGAAGGCTATCGGACTAGTAAAATAAATGGTTGCCCCTCTAAAATCAGCCACGGGTGAGATTATTAAAGTTCGCACAAAGCAGCTGGACGCTGAGTAGAGCACTGCTCAGAGCTATACGCTATGAACACCAATGTGGGGAATAAGCCTAAAAGACAAAGGGGTGTCTGCCAGCATTGGGCAAGCTAGACATAGAGCCCTTCTTCACAGAAATCGACGCTGCACTTGATGGACTACTGGGGGAAGGCTCAAGGATGCCCTTTTCTCTGAGCTGCACAAGATCCTCTGCCAATGTTGGCAAGATAAGGATATGAGAAATGCCAATATTATACCTCTCTACAAAAACAAGCGAGATAGAGGCGATTACAACAACTATCGCAGTATCTCTCTGCGGGGCTTTGTGGGGAAAATCTTTGCTCGTGTTGTCCTAAAGAGGTTGCAAATTCTAGTGGACAGAGTGAACCCAAAATCACAATGTTGTTTAGGGCCCTGAGATCAACAGTTGATATGATCTTCTCCATCAGGCAGCTACACAAAAGTGCAGAGAGCAACAGAGGCAACTTCTTATTGCTTTCATAGATCTCACCAAGGACTTTGATTAGGTCAGCGGAGATTGTATGTTCAGGATCCTTAATAAACGTGGATACCCATCTATACTACTAAGCTTCGTTAAATCCGTCCACGAAACTATACAGTGAACGATAATATATGAGGTTTCATCGTCTTCACCATTCCAGATTTGCAATGGAGTAACGCAAGGATTCGTTCTGGCTCCCACGCTGTTTGGCATCATTGTTACTGTCGTGATGAGGCGTGAAATAGTGACAGCTACCAAAGAGATAAATCTCAGTTCGCGGTCAGATGGCAGTCTTTTTAATTCGTCTAGGCTGCGTGCAAGGACAAATGTGCACACATGATGCCTCAGGGTTTGTTTTTTTGCGGATGATGCAGCCATTGTTGCACCCACACACACACACACACACACACACACACACACACACACACACACAGACACACACATAGGATGATCTGCAGACCCTCCTGAAATGCTTTGCAAACGCGTGCAAAGAATGTGGGTTACCGTCTGTCTCAACAAAACGCAAATAATTGGAATGAATGTTGTAAACCCATTAAACTCTAGTGTTTATGACCATCAGCTGTTCGTTGTACACGAGTTTGAGTATCTAGCTCGCGAATCTCTGGCGACCATCCTCTAGATGCAGAGATAATAAGACGTTTAGGAAAGAGCTTTGCAGTGTTTCCAAATCTCACTAAGAGAGTCTGGTCAAATGAAAAGCTGACAGATAATACCAAATTAAAGGTTTATGAGTCTTGTGTCTTGAGCTGTGCTCCTCAAGACTGATTCCTTCGACATGCGCTGTATGAGGCGCATCGTTGGCAAATCATGGCGAGACCTTGTCTCCAACGAATGTGTACTCACAAGAGCGAAAATACCATCAATGTACTGTCTAATGTAGCAAAGACGTCTGCGATGGCTGAAGCATGTCTCCCACACGTAGGATGGCCGTATTGCAAAGGACCTTCTGTATGGTGAACTTGAAACAGGAAAAAGACCTACAGAAAGGTCTAAAGCTACGTTAAAAAGACACATGCAAACGTGACCTGATAGATACAAACATAGGCACAGAGACATGGAAAAAAATCGTCTGTGTATTCTCTGTGGCAGAGACTGCCACACATGCATCAGACTTTACAGTCCCAGCAGATGCTGTTCACAAATTTAGAGCACATATCCCTAGTCAATTTGGACTGACGGATACCATAATTATTTTTATTATTATTATTATTATTATTATTATTATTATTATTATGCAGTACTGCCAGGCGGAATTGACAATATAAAATAACGAGACATTTGCACGTTGAACAAGCAAAGTCATACTGTGTGAATAATGATGAAACGGGCAAAAGAGGTACAGGACTGAAGAAAAAAAATTGATGGACAACAAAAGTAGTTCGTGCATATGCTTTTCCTAGGCGATGCCTATGTAGTTGTATGCTGTAGTTGTTCACTATTCAAATATTCATTACCTGAGCCATTATTAATATTTCATGGTTCCTGTTTTTTGCAGACTAGCGGGGAACTACGTACTGTCCGTACCACATTGCTTTCCTCGTCTCCTTCCTTGTTTCTCCCCTTTTCCCTTCCGGGCTATCTCAAAAGGATTATGGATTCCATAACCCCATAACCGCACACTACGGTGCTTGTCAATTTAAAACCGAATTCAATGACAGCCGCTCGTCCTATTGTCTAGACATATCCACCGTCATCCACTTGAGACTTGAAACATCCACACGAGACATAAGGCAGTAGAGGTCAGCCAAATATAATGCAAATGTGTCTTCTATTTTCCACAGAGCAGTTTGCCTTACACTCAGGGTGAGCTGCAATGCTGTACAATAAATTCAGTCACTTTATTTATAAGGGAAAGCAAGAGACTGCCATAGAAAAGGTAGGATTATTGACGTTAAAGAGCGTCTGCCCAGACATGGAAGGACAACAACCCTTGTTTCCCATCAAGCAAAAGTCCCAAAGATATTCCTCCCCACAACGTTAAGTGGCATTCACAGAGGGCCTGTAAAGGGGAATTTATTTACCATACATTTGTGAAAAGAAAAGCTATGTTGGATGTGTACTTCACAATCTAGTGTGTCGCCGTGGTGTAGCGTATAGACGATGGTCTGCGGATTGGAAGGTCGTGGGTTCGAGTCCTGATAATTATACATTTTTTAAAAATGACGTTGGCTCCTAATTGACCCAGCCTTGAGTGGGTACCAGGTATAGTGCTGGGGAATCAAGGCGGCAATGTGATGTTTATCTCCGCGTTCACCAGCTGTAAACTCTGACGGAACGTTTTGGTTGCCCTGAGAGGCGGTTGCAGTTACAACATGTTTATACAGCTGAAAATCAAGTCTGCACATGGCAGCAGTGACTGCCTCCATGTCTATTCTCGAACTAGATGTTGTGACATCACATGCCAGTCCTTGTTGCAATAAGCGAAATCCATTCACTTTTGCAAAGATCCCCCAGGCACATCGCCTGCAACTCAACACAGAATTGTCAGTATAGATAATCACATCACCTGAGCGCGAATTGTCCTGAATCATGTGTTCAACTTCTGATTCTGCAGCGCCACTGGCCAGTCCTTGCACTCACGACTTAAAGTGGTAAAAACCCTTCACAAGTTTGAAACTTGCTCGCACACTTTGACCCACTCCTCTCCTCGCACAAATGGATCAAGCCTGCACACATGTCTGATTGTGTCCTCAGCTTGCTGTATCTACGAACTTCCTCTTTTCTTGTCTGCCGCTACTCTGGGATATGACTGCGGAATTTCAAGCCTCTGTAGGTAGTGCAAGTATACAATGCATACACATTACCGTTGTATCTCTTGTACATCCCAGAATTACCCGCATGGCTTTATTGTGTGTGCGCTCAAGTTTCATCTGCTGACTTATTGATATGTTAAGCTTTCCAAGTTAATAATCTATTACCGACAGGATAACATGTTGGAACATTGTGAAGAACATTCTTTGTTCCATTCCATAATATTGAGAGTATTGGTTCCTTTTTATTTTTAGCGCTTCACCGCAACTATCTCCTAATGATCTCTGAAGGACAGATTTTAATCGAAAATGATACCTAGGTACCTTCGTTTGCTTTCTCGTTTAATGTTTTTGTTATTAATTGTGAGGCTAAGAACATTAGAGGAGTCGCCTTTGCGTAGCGGCTAGATGCTCGCGTGCGGATCGAAAGGTAGAGGGTTCGCTCCCTGGCGGAGCCGACTTTTTTCAACAATGACCTTGACTCACACCCTTAAGTGGGTACCAGGTCGAGTCATCGGAAGTAAAGGCGACCGGCGTGAAACTGACCACATCATACATCCTGTGCTGATTCTTCTTCTCTTCTTCTTCTTCACTTCCTCTTTTACCGCTGTGGGTGTCGAGGGAGATATAAGGTTCTGTTTCTAGCTCTTCTGGCTACCTCGACTATAGGCACATCGTGCTGTTGTAGAGTTTCTCTGATGTTATCCTTCCATCTTGTTCTTGGTCTACCCCGTGCTCTACGTCCTTCTTCTCTTCCCATGTATGCTTTGTATGTTATGGTGTCACAAGGCATTCTCTCTAAGTGGGCAAACCATTTCACTTGCTGTCTTTGTATGTAATCCAGAATTGGTTCTGTGCCGACTTGTTCTCTTATGATCTAATTTCTGATCTTATCTCTTATGGTCACTCCTACAGCCCTTCTAAGACATCTCATTTCCGTGGTTACTAATTTTCTTTTATGGTTTGTTGTGAGTGACCATGTCTGGCACTGGTAGCACAGAGTTGGAATAAATATGCTTTGAATAAGATGTCTCTTTGTGCTGATTGGGATTGTCAGCATGCTGTAAGAAGGGGGCTAGCTGTCCCAATACTTGGTTTGCTTTACTGCATCTAATGTCAATTTCTTTATCTAATTTCCCATCTTCGGTAAATGTAGCTCCCAGATATTTAAACTCAGATGCCTGTTTAATGCCTTTGTATTCTATTGTTATGTTTAGATCAGTCTTCTTTTTTCCTATTGACATTACTTATGTCTTTTCAGTGTTGATTCTCATATTATTTGTTTTACATTCTTCATTCATGGATGTTAGATGTTGCAATTTCATGGCTGTATCTGCTATCAAGGCCTGGTCATCTGCAAAGAGTAATTCGTTGATCTTACTAAGATCTTCATTCATGGGCTTGGCATTCTTGCATATACTGTCGATGTAGGTGATAAACAGCAGTGGTGATAAGACACACCCCTGTCTTACTCCAGATGTGCTGATTGGTCTATAAAAATAAAGGTCTGTCCTACATGTCCTATACGTCCTAATGGCGTGGAAAAGTGACCCTTACATTTTTTTTTTACTTTGGAAGATTAACTCTTCCAATAGTTTTGTGCAGAGACCACCATAAAATAGCCAGCTTTTCTGAGTTCGTAACAGCATCCATCTCTGCACACCAGACAGTCACTTTGTGTACAGTTGCTTTTGGGCTGTTTGTTGCCTATCGCTCTCCTGTCCACATGCAACACAATCGCCTGCAAATGTCAGTTCCTTCCAACATCACCTGGTGCTTCAAGCTCCATAGTCTTGTGTTCTAAATGTCGACACACAGCACAATGACTCGTTGATTACTTAAACTATCTGTCGGACAATAACTAGGAGAACATAAGCTTTTTACACACATATACACTACACAGTGCTTACCTCTACAGTGCAGTCCTGTCCGGCCATCTTTGCACCGACAAGCTCCACTCGGGAAGCGACACGGCTCTGCACAGTGCTTGGAGCAGTTGAACTGGCAGGTGGCTCCGTAGGTACCAAGCGGACAGTCTGAAAACATACGTACGAATATACAAACACACACCAGTCAGTGGGTAAAAAAGGGGCATTCTGAAAACACACATTACAAATATCTGTACACATGTTAGTCATTTGGTAAGATGGGGACTTTCAGAAAATGCACACACGAATATGTGCACGCATGTCAGCCAGTTATATATTCTGGTTTATCCCTAAATCCAGTTACATCGAAACACACACAGTCTAACACCCACACAACACACACACACATACAAGCCCACACACACACAAAGCTGGAAAGAGAGGTGCACTGAGAAGCAAAAGTAATGGACGCTTTCTGGCGAGAGTAATAGTGGTGTTTGTGTGTGTGTGTGTGTATATATATATACATATTTATATATATATATATATATATATATATATATATATATATATATATATATAGTAGTTACATAGACAGACGGACATGCACACAGACACACAGACAGACGGGGAGAGAGATAGAGGCTAGACAGACAGTGACAGACGTAGAGGATAACCAGACAGACATAGCGAACGAAGAACGAACTTTATTTTCAAACAAATTGGTTCACGCAGGCCTGTCTTTCTTGTGCCCCTCATTCAAGCATTCATCTTTCTTACATATTTGATATATCAAACATATTGTGTCTTACGTCAAAATTCATGAAATAAATCATCATCTTCTTTATGTGCTCTGTCAAGTGGCGTAGGCGCTCATGCGTCTCCACAAATCAAAATTCCCGGTTGCCTGGAACAGCTCTCTTGATGAAATCCCTCCATGCCATCGTTTGAGCCCATCCAGCATCGTCTCTCATGGTCTGCCCCTCCCACTTTTCCACTGATCGTTTCAGTTGTCACGATGTTTCCAATGTCTCTCTTCTCATTAAAAAAAAACAGTGTGTCTCTTTCTTATTGTTGTAAATTGAGATCTACTTTTATTAGCTTCTTTCAAGCAATCGTTGTTAGTTACTCTGGCCGTCCAAGGTATTCGTAGCATTCTCTCAGAAATCCCATCTCTGTTGCTTCCAAATGCTTCCTAATATATTCACTGACATTCCAAGATTCGCTACCATACAGCAGAACAGGTTCTATGTAACATGTTAGCACCCTCTTTCTGACATTAAATGAAGTCAAATTATTGCATAAGATATTTTTCATTTTCTGAAGTTTTCCCTTGACCTATTCTGCTTTTTATCTCTGTCACAGATTTTTCATCTGATGATATGATTGTTCCCAGACATTTGAATTTATTGACTTAATTAAGTCTTTTTCCTTCATTTGACTTATCACAACGTGGAGTTATATTCTTTTTTGATATAACCATTATTTCCGTTTTCTTAATATTAAATGAAAGTCCTTTCTTAGCACTCTCCAGCTCAAAATATCCAAAAGTTGAGTTGTCAATTAGTTTCATTTTCAGCATCAAAACTATATCGTCTGCAAAACGCAAATTGTTTATATTGTATCCTCCAACTCTTACTCCATGCAAACGTACCCAATCTGTTTCCCACTTTAATTGCTGCCACTTGGTTCCAGTAAATGTTTAATTATTCTGAGATCTTTCCCGTCTACATTGATGTCTCCCAACGTTTTCATCATCTCTTCAAGTTTAACTTTGTCAAATGCTTTGGTATAATCTAAAGAGCACACAAAAAATCCTTTTGCATAGCCACTGAACCCATTACTTGTTCCCTTACCTTCAATAAATATATATATATATATGAATATAATAAATTCATATATTCATTTATAAAATGAATATGAAGTAAAAATATAAACGCGTGAATGGTAACGTATACCTTCACACATGCATACTTACCCAGCTGTCTGAGTACATACTTACCAAGCTACAATCCACACATACACATGTTCATAACAACACAGACAAACTAAAGCTATAAGAGACGGACGCCAATAGAAGGAGGGGGTTATGGGTGCATTACGATTTAGTATTCAAATTCACCAGTATACAACTGACGTCTTTGAACTTTAATTTGATGTCCTGTATGAGTAAATATACTCCGTGGACATACACTGACATTACGTTGCTATATGTGTCTGTGAGGGCACTATCTCTATCAGGCGGTTTGTCCTAACAACTGTGCTTGAGACAGCATCCTCTGAAAATAATATTTTCTTCTTTTAATCTTCTTCTTAGAATTCCCTGGCTGTAAACTCCGACGTACAGTTAAGGTTGTTGTCTACTTCTGGACTAAGGCCTTGTTGCAGAGTTTGAGTATTTGTGTGCACATCCCTTTTACAGAACTAGCCTATTTGTATGCAGAATTAAGTTTCTCGCGTCTCAGGCAGATGCACCTGCCTGTCAGGTCTTTATGTCACCCATCACCTGTCTGTCAAGTCCTGATGTCACATATAACCTGATAGTCATGTCTTTATGTCACCCAGAACCTACCTGTCACGTATTTACGTCACACATCCCCGCCTGTCACGTCTTTACGTCACACATTCATGTCTGTCACGTCTTTATGTACACATCACCTGCCTGTCACGTATTAACGTCACACATCACCTGCTTGTCACGTCTTTATGTCACACATCACCTGTCTGTCAAGTCATAATGCGGCACTTTATGTCAACAGGTATGGGCCGCTCATTGTACGCTTTTAGTCAGATTCAGCTTCACTCAGTTATTTGTAGCTACACAACGTACTTACCTCAGGATTCTCCGTCTTAATGATGACAAAGACAGAAGGTCAACAACACTTACCTGGTAAACAAACACTTCCCGTTTGTCCAGGCTGACATTTACACAGGCCCCAATGTTCCGAGCAGCCGTTAGGGCATTTGTCACTACACAGACGTATACATTTGAGTCCATACTTCCCAACTGGACAGGGTCTGCTGCACGCGCCCGTGTGAATGCTGCAGCTCTGGTTTTCGCCGCAAGCACATTGCTTATCGCAGTTCAATCCCCATATGCCATCCAAACACCAAAACTCTGTAATAGGGACAGAGTGTTGAAATATTCAGTGTTGAATGTTGAATTAATAATCGACATCACAGTACTTAGGACACTGCCATAAGCGCCCCATCCCCATCTTAATCAGCAAGGAAGGAAGTAAAATTGCGATGTTACCAGTAAATGATTGTAAATTCGCCTCGCTCCTGAGTGTCGAGCGTCGGCCAGCTTCCCTTGTAACTGCTTGCACTGCCATTCTCCTCAGACCGTAATGATCTATCTGTTCCTTGGCACTGTTCACCCATAGTGTGCAATCAATTTCCAGAGAGATTCCCTATCAATGCAGTCAAATGTTTTTTCATAGTCTATAAATCCAATGTAAAGTGGTGAGTTCGGTTCAATGCTTTGCTCTATTATAAGTAATGTGGCTATCTGGTCAGTACAGGATCTGTTTGACTGAAAACCTGCCTGTTCATCTCTTTTTATCAATAGCATCTTTTAATCTTTCCAAAATAATTCTACTTTATATTTTTCCAGGAACTGACAGCAACATAATTTCTCTATAGTTTTCACACTCCTGTAGATTATCTTTTTGGGAAGTTTCACAAGATATGCTTCTCCCCAGTCTGTCGGTATTTCTTCGATCTCCCAGACTTTACTGAATAATCTATGTAGCAATTCTGTTGATGTGTTTATGTTGGCCCTGATGGCTTCAGCTGAGATACCATCTGGGCCTGTAGCCTTTTCTTCATGAGAAGATTGATAGCTTTTCTAATTTCCTCTTTGGATGGTATCTCACAGTTGATATCCAGTTCCCTTTCTAGAGGTTGGATATCTGGGGGTACCTCTGGACCTGGTCTATTTAGAAGCATTTCAAAATGTTCAACCCATCTGTCCATTTGATCTTTAATGTTAGAAATACATTTCCTTGACTATTTTTGATTGATCCAGTTGGCTGCCTATATTTACCTACTAATTTTCTTGTGTTATTATAAAGTTCTTTGAGGTTTCCTTTTGCTGCTGTCTCCGCTTCTTGTGCTAGATCATTTAGATGTTTCACTTTATCTGCCCTTATACGCCCTAACTTCCTTGTTGGCTTCTGTGTAATTCTCCTGAGCTCCAGCTTTAGCAGCTCTAGTTTTGCTATTGTTTAAGTCTGTCTTTTTACTTTTCCTATCTTCAATATGGATAATTGTTTCTGGTGTTATCCACGCTTTATGTTTCCTTCCGTTCTTGCCAAGAACTTCTAAGCAAGATTCATTCCAGATTTCTTTGATCTGATCCCAGCAGACTTCTGTGCTGCCATCTTCAGCTAACTGCTGCATCACCTGGTACTTATTAAAAACTGTGACCAAAAACTGTTCCTTAACTTCTTTATTACTGAGATAACCTACATTATATTGGTTTCTATGATTATAAAATGTTATATATCTTTTTAGTTTCAACTTGATTTTACATACCACTCGGAAATGGTCAGTAAATACATCGGCACCTCTGAAAGCCTTCACATCTACCTAAACCTTTAGACAGGAGCACTTCGCTTTCAACAAACATTTGTAGTTTCACAGCAGTAATCTTCTACAGCACCTTGCTAAGTATTTTGTATCATGATAGTCCTGAAACTGCTGAGTTTGGAATGATTTTTTGCCTGGTTTTAAAAGTTAAATTAGGTAACTGTGTACCCATTCCTGAATGCTCTGGCTGAAGTAAAAAGTCTTCTCTCTAATTTCTTCATCACTCATGCTCTTCAAGTGGGCATACCTGACTCCGTCTGGCCCCGGCGCAGTGTGTGGGCATACCTGACTCCGTCTGGCCCGGCGCAGTGTGTGGGCATACCTGACTCCGTCTGTCCCCGGCGCAGTGTCCTTTGCTTTTTGCAATACATGTTTTATATCCTCCATCCTAATAATATCCTCAAAATAATTATCATTTATTGTATTATACAGATTATATCTAACTGAATTTATAAGCTCCCTATCATTATGATCAGTTTCGGCTATAAATCTCTTCATAAAAGCTTCTTCTTTCTCTTTGTCTGTTGTCATCGGTATATAATTATAAGTGCATTTAATGCCTGTTTAATAGGCCG